GCTCAGGCTGGTCTCGAACTCCTGAGCTCAAGCAATCCTCTCGCCTCAGCCTCCCAGAGTGCTAGGATTACAGGCGTGAGCCACCACACCCAGCCCTAAGGTATGCATTTTAATGAAAAATATGCTAGGATAATACAGCTTATAGTATTAAAAATGCATTTTTTAACCATGTTTAAGGAAATCATTATATCCCAATTAAATGGTTACATTTATATGGATGGCTTCAGTTTCAAATGTATGTGTTCCCAGCCACTTTGAGTCTTTTTTAATTATGTTGAAACATACCCTCTTTTGTAATGATTATTTTAAACACATTTCTGTTGTCAGAATACCCACTTGGAACTTCTACTTTTTTACCTCAACTTTAAATATTGGGACTAAAGCATTCACCAAAAATACCAATTTGGGTTATCACACAAAAACATAAACTAATATCTGTAAAACCCTTAATATTTAATGGCAGGATGGCAAATACATTTAAAGCCTAAGTTTAAGCAAAATAAACATAATACAATGCAAAATAAATTCTAATTAATACTGCTATGTGTGTCCCAAGAAGAAGAAGAAAGAGAAACTTGTATACTAAGACTCTGCAGATGGGAAGAAAATCTATCTAGAACTACAAAAGTAAATGTGGTCAACAAACAAACCTTCCATATCAAAATCTGCTGTGACCTCTGCATCTTCACCAAGCAGAGTAGAGCTCGTTGACGATGGCAATGCAATGCTAATTTTCTCTAAACTCATTTCTTCTTCCAAATTTTTGATCCAGTCTGGACTTTTTAAAGTAATAGTTATAGTCCGATTCAATAACTAATTGAGTAAAAAAGATATAAGATAAAAATTCATTAACATGAAAATTAATCATTTTGGAATAAAGGGGCTGCTGCCTTAATTATACTATGCAATGGTAGAGACAGTTAATTTAATTAGACTCAATTCAACAGAATTCGTTCACATATATTAAATTTTTAACTAGTTTAAAAGTTGTTTCCAGTTCTCCCTTTAAAAGCCAGTGGTGCTAAATGAACATCTTCTTTTCTAGGCTTCAAGATTCCAGTTTCTTTTGCTACAGAGTGTCTTTTCCTGGCCATGTGTAAATTCACTGATAACTCTGCTACATAATTTTATGTTTCCTTTGATTTTGATCCAGAGTTTAAGTAATTGTTTTTACACCAAACAATTACAGAAGAGACAGTAGAAAAATCTTTAAAATACATTTCCTGTTCCTTTGGTCTTTTCCTAATTTGGCATATGGAGCTGCTGTATTGTCAGCTGCTATATGCTAACCTGTGCAGTTTTAGCATTTCAAATGCCAGAATACTGAGAGAACTGAAGACAATTTTAAATCTTTAACAAAAATTAATCATTCTAAAAGCAGAATGACTGCTATCTGTGAAACTGGCACTCTGCCCTTTCCTATAAATTTGAGTGGCTTTTAGACTACAGTATAATCTAAAACAACCAACACTTAAAATTGAGTTATACCATGTCCTGTCGATGTGTTTTTAAAAAATACTTTTAAAAAACTTGCCAATAACCTTAAGACTCCACAGTTAAGGATAAATACATTGTGTACTAGAAAGAATTTCTCATTTAAAACCCATATACACATAACAAACTTGTTTTCTAAATTGTAAGCTCTCTCCCACATAGTTTCAACTTCCTCTGAAGAGTTTGTTGACATGAACAAGATGTGAACATTTTTGGTAACTGCAAATAAGCTGTGCACCTGTGACCAATGTGCTATGCTGACAGTTGGCACCTTTGTGGGTGCCAATCTTCCTTGGCTCCAACTGTTACTGATATTAGAATTTCTAGAAGGCATAATGATGGAGAGGCTGAAAGCTTCTGACCTGAATGGCACAGTTGTGTTTAATAGTCACTCAGCATCCACACTGAGCTTTGAAGTCAGAATCCTAAGAACTCATAATCCTTTATTTGCTTATTAGATCTGAG